TTTTTTAAAAAATGCAAATGAGAAAACATTTAAATCATACGATTGCTTATCCGCATACAAAAACATCTTTAACATGGCGAAGAATAAGGATGTATAATTTTTGTTTTACTTCGAATTTTGCAATATTATTTTAGGAGAGTATTCTTGACACTATAAAAAATCCGCCATTTTGAATTTTGCGTTTGTTCACAACTGGAGGCGGGGTGGGAGTCAAAAATTGATGAAAAATTGTCCATTTGGTTTATGGAACAACGATAAAATTTATACCTCTCACTCATACCTCGTTCTCGATCTGCCTTTCTTTTACTCCTTAATCTATCTGTGAGTGAAAAAAGAAAAATAATTAGCCAATAAGGAAATAAGACGCCCATTTCGTATTTTGGCTTGAAAGTAAAATTTCCCACTTTTCCTTCCCCTATCAAATTCTGTTCCTCTCTTTCTACCTGACACGGAAAATGGAGAAAACATGGTACCCCCTTCTAAACCCAAAAAGTGGGAATTACTTTCTTAACTATTCGTCTCTCTTTCGCTCCTACTCTAAGCTAAAAGGAGAGACAATACCTCCCTCCCTCTCTTTCTCTCTCACTGTGAACAGAGTATATAAGGAAATACTAACTTAATGATAGATCGTCCAACGTCCTTCCGGCAGGACGAAAAAGACTCAGGTGAGTCCCTCCGAAATCACTGAAGAAAATTAACATGGATTCAGATAAATAAAAAATGATATATATCATTGGAAAGGTAACGAAACAAGCTTTCAGCGCATATAAATATCGAGCTTGTAAGTTCAAAACTAAGGGCTGGGTAGTTTGAAGAAGTTACATGTTCCAAAAATTCACATAATTTTTAGTCACAGAATGACGAAGCCCGGTCCTGCCGGCAGGACGCTTTTCGCTTTATTTAAGAGACTACCTAGCCCAGGTTTATAAATTTAAAGACTCGATATTTACATCATTTGAAAGCTTGTTTCATTACCTTTCCAACGATATATTTAGTTTTATATTTATCTGCTTCCATATTAATTTTATAGAGCAATTTCGAAGGGACTCGCGCCTGAGTATTACTCAGATATACTGAAAAATATTAAAAATGAATTTTTTTTTAATTATAAAATTAGGTTTCATTCTTTGAACGTTTCTGAAGAGAAAGAGACTTGTCCGGTCAAAAAATATTGATTTTTGGGGATTTTACATTAAATTTACGAAAAAATGTTTTTTTCACTGTTTAAAAACATAGCAAGTTTGAAGGCTTTGAAAAATGGTTTAAATTATTATTTTAAAAAGTCAAAAATATGGATTTTTTCGTCTTTTCGTCTACTTTAACCCCAAAGAGTGCCAGAAAAGAAAAGTTTAATTCCCTTTTTTTAAAAGCTTTTTTTTCGGAACGTCCTTCCGGCAGGATGGGCGCTTGGACGATTTATCATTAATATATATAGATATAATAATAATATTCGCCTCTCTTTCGCTCCTACTCTAAACTAAAAGGACAGGCGATACTTACCTCTCTTTCTCTCTATCAACCTTTCTCTCTCACTGCGGACAGAATGTACACGCTCTGGACAGACTGAATGAAAGAATACGAAGATTATTATAGTTAATTATTTTTTACAATAAATAATTTTTCTTAACATTGAAATAATTTTTCTTAAAAAGCTCAAATCTTCATTAATTGTGTCCAATAATTTTTCTCAAAATCAGATAATCCAGTTCTGAGATATAAATGTTTTAAAAAAATGTTACATTAAAATTAAATTGTTTATAAAAAATAAACAAATGAATATTTTCAAATAAAACTTGGTGACTGTTTGTCCCTCTATTAGTACTTTATTTTTATAAAGTTTATTATAGAAATTGCAAACCTTGGAAAATCCGTTGCCCACTTCAGGAATTCTTACCCTATTAAAAGAAATTGTAAATTTATACAATCCACAGACAGTTCAAAACAATCCATATTCAATCCAATTCAAAGACCTAATCCGGAATGATTTTTATATAATATTGAATTTGTATATTAAAAACAATTTGTATTAAACAAGATAAATTCAAACTATAATTATAATTTCGTATGACAAAAACCTGACAAAAACCAGATTAATTCCGTATTTAATAATTTCACATTTGCAAGTTGCGTATTATCAGACTAACTCCGAGCGACAAAAACCTGTCCATAAGCAGACTGTTTCGGATTAGCTGCGGATTCACTGGTTAAACCAACCGGATAACTTCTGCTAGTCGCATATGATCTGACTAACTGCAGACTAAACCGGACTAATTACGGATTTAATAGTGATAAAAAACGATATTGATTTCAAACTTAATTCATGGTCAAAAAACTCCACAATAAACCGTACTGTTGCGGACAAATTCCGGATAAGTCTGAAATCGGTCCCACTTTTTATTCAGGGTATTTACTTATGGTAAATAAAATATTTAATTCTGCAGTCATAATTTGTTTTTACAAATTTACTAGTATTATTAGTTATCTTCTTTCAATATTAAAATTAACACTGATGTGTTAGTTTCTTGTCATTTCTTTTCGTGGCACTTGATAAATTCTTTTATGAATTTGAACTCCCATGCGAGCGTGGTAAAGTGGTTAGTGTATTCGATGTCGGTGCGATATAATGTTAGATAGGTGTAGGTTCGAATCCCCAAGCGTTAGAAAATTTAAGTTAATGTACACTCAATAACATATATGCTTTCCTTCCGGTTTGGACAACTTTTTGAAAAGTGGTGGGCCTTCTATAAGAATGTTTTAAGTCTATGGCTTAAGTCTGTGGTTTAAGTCCATAGACTTAAAACATTCTTATAGAAGGCCCACCACTTTTCAAAAAGTTGTCCAAACCGGAAGGAAAGCATATATGTTATTGAGTGTAAATAAAATTTCGATAGGTAAATCGAAAAATATGTTCAATGTACCATAAAGTAATAATAATTAATATGTGTAACTTGTATAATTATTTTTTTATTAACATTCACTAAATTGTCCGGACTAACTTTTGACTGTTTCGGACTAATTCCGGATTCACTAGTTAAAATTAACTGATTAATTTCTGACTTCATCGGACCAACTCCGGTTTTACCAGCTGTTCACAAACCGTATAGAATTCGGATTTTTCCGGATTAATTTCGGGTGACAAAAACCTGACCATAAACCGCATTGTTTCGGACAAATTTTGGATTAGTCCGAAATCTGTCCGGTTTTTTAACTAGGGAAAGCTTCAATCTCTTATCCACAATCAGTTCTCATCTTTTCGATTTCAAAATTTAGTAAAATACCCATGGTATTTTATTTAAATACCCATGGTATCATGGTATCTTTGTATTTTACCAATTTCAATTTAGAATATCACTACTGCAAGCAGTATATCTAAGAAGATTGCTTAAGCGTACATCGCGATGTTTTGATAAATAAAAAAACAATTAAAGAATAAAAAAATAAAATAAAAAACTAAAAAAAAGTATAAAAAATGAAAAACTGAAAAAATTAATGGAAAGTGCTTAATCTTGCATTTCTAATATTAAAAATCTGTCCCTAATTTGTTATCAGTAACCCCAAAAACGCTTGAATACCAAATTTTATAAGTATTCGTCGATTTCTTAAAAATTCAATCCGCCATATTGAATCCGCCATTTTTAATTTTGTAACTCTGACCTCAGATTCGTAATCAGCGACCCAAAAAACCCCTAGATACAAAGCTTTATTAATTTTCGTCAATTTTTTAAATTTTTCGATCCGCCATTTTGAATTTTCTAAATCTAACCTCATATTTGTAATCAGCGACCCCGATAACCCCTAGATACCATGTTAGGGGTTTTTTCAACTTCAGGGGGGGGGTTCACTCTCTAAATCATCGTCATTTCCCTTATAAAAAAATACGTATCTCTTATTCTTGCGAGTTCTAAAAGTGTGCCAAGTTTCATTCAATTTTGTGAACATAAAACAAAATTTTATCATTTAATTAAGTAAGATGTCTATTTAGACATCTTACGTTTTAGAATTTTTTTAAAGTACGCACGTAAAAAACATAGACTGTCCAAACTTTTATCTTCTAATCTAATTTCTAATCTAATTCTAATACTATATTGAAAGGATCCTCAATCAATTTATTTACTTTTTTAACATCCTGCGCAGTAGTTTTCTATGAGTTTCTCGAATGCGCAATACATTTTTTTGTCCAACATTGTTATAAAGGGCCTTTCTCCAATAGATTCCCAAAAGTCTGCAATGCGTCGGTTGCTATGGTAACATATGCTAAAATTAACGCAACGCAGTCATTCGCAGACAAACGCAGAGTTTTGGGAACCTATTGGAGAAAGTCCAGTTTCCTGTACGGGATCGGGTCGGAATCCTTTAAGGATCCTGTACGTGGATTTTAAGCTGGTCGGATACGTAAAAAAACAGTAAAAAAAGGTTTCAAATTATTAAATCAATTCGACACTTCCATTAAAATCAAATATTTGTAACAAATACTTAGTTGTTTATTTAAATCTGGTCCGAAATACAAAAAATTATTACACAAAATCAAAAATGAATTTAGGCTTTAGTTTATTTTTCTCGAGAATTATAACAAATTAGGATCCAATTATAATAAAAAATCACAACAAAATATTATTTCAATAAATTTACCATTTGAACCACTCTCGCACACTAAGAATGTTTATACAAAAAAATTTACGTTGATTCGAAGTCAAGATCTTGTTAAATCAAAAAGAAAGATATCTTGAAATAAATAATTAGAATAAAATATGGTCAGAGACAATATCAATTGAGGGGACAGATGCAATAACGGACGAGGCGCTCGGACTGATCTCTCACTACAACGAAAAAATGAAAAACTTATCTGTAAAATAAATTTTCTCGAAAGAGAAGAAGAAATTAAATAAAGCACAAGTTTTCTCAAAATTATTTTTCTTAATTTACACAATTTTTTGCTCGAATCAGTTCGAGCGCCTCGTCCGTTATTGCATCTGTCCTCTCAATTAAAATGAAGGACTCACCGTAATGGTTTAAATAACTATACATAAATTTGTTTGTCTACCGACAATGTCAAATAGTTCTCGTGATCCGAGTAACATAAAATTCGTGTACTGTTGCTTTCGAAAAGGCTGGAGATACGATCGTTGTCCCTCCTCTGGTGGACAGCGATTCAAATAATAATCCAAATCAGGAAACATACAACAATTATATTGAGCAGGCAGTCTAATTTTGTTTTCCTTTTGTTATCAGGAAATTCCCACAAATGGAGATCCTCTCAAAATGTATAATACTCCAGAGAGATAAGAATTTTTCGAGAGTGTTAAATCGGAGACAGAATTCGCGCGTCGATTCACACGTGGTGATCAACAATTGCACACCAACCGCTACAATTATAAATTTAACAATTAACAAAAATCACAAATTATTCCTTTCCTTTATATCCTTTTTTATAAATTCATAACTCTATCGAGCGTCGTGTTTTATATACAAAATCTCAGCGCGTCACACACAATTTAACAAAATTGAGGTCCCTCTTCGCACCTATCGCGAAGGTTCCCTGACCACTGATCACATTTTCCAAATTTACAGCAGAATAAGACTTTACATTTTCTCTCCCCACCATCACTCTGCTCTATACCTTTTCGTCTTATTAATATGAGTCACTCACATTCGCACCGTACATATTTTTTGACCTAAAAGAATGATGGGTTGATTTAGAGAAACAACTGAAGAGTGTATTTTTTGGGTCTCGTCATATTTTCTTATTATGCATTTTTGATTTAAAATATAAAACATTTGAAATGAAATAATAAACATTTATGCATTACCATTAGTATTTTATATAAAAAAACTGTGTATATTTATGGCGAAATGATATTTTAACGAATTGTCCTTTGTCCAAATCAAGGTTTTTACTAATCGTTACTTTTACAAATTGTCATTTTTATAAAATTCCATTATTACAAATTGTCTTTATTTTTTGCAAAGGGGCATTTCTACGATAAAAATTTAATTTTTCTGTGCGTCATGGCATTGACAGGTATATCTTTGATACATTATTCTATAAAATTAGAATCTAAATTGGACATTTTCTTATATTTCTAAATGCATCATAATTAAAAAAATTTACTTTAATAGTAATTAGAAAAAAAATACAGCCTACTTAATCATAGTGATGCATGAACACAAATGGCAGCTTTTTCCTTGAAATGCTCAAAATTTTATTTTTACCAATTGTCATTCTTATCAACCGTTACTGTTGCGAATTGTGTTTTGACTGAATTAATTAACATTTTATCGAATAGACACTTTTCCGAATTGACAATTATATAAATTGATAATTTTACAAATTGACAAATATGGATATTGTAGCAGTGTCAATTCGTAAAAATGTCGTTTCGGACAAATAAATATTTGTACATATTACATTTAACAAAAGTGGCAATGTGTTAATATTTCGCTACAAAAACTGCTACGAATAACGCACGAGACATGTTGGTTCGTTTTACGCATAGACTTCTGTACCTAATTTTGCAAAGGCCGGTGCTGACTTTGCACAGCTTGTGCCACAGTTGCTCAAAGTCCACGAAAAATCATCATGGATTTCTTGCAACTTACGCATGGTGGTGTGTGTGCGTTTTTAGTACATCTGCTCATGTGCTAAAAGCAACAGATTTCTCTCCGTGTACAATTATATACAAATGATTGCAGAAATTTAATTATTTTCAAAAGTAATAAAATTATACGCAGAAATTCATTTAGGTTCAAAAATTTTTTTTAAATTTTCATTAAAATTTCAATTTTCTTTATAAATAATAAAATTCTTAACTCCAAAATTCAATTATTTTCAAAATTTTTTATAAAATTCTTGTCAAAAATTTTAATTATTTACAAAAATTTCCCTCAATTCAATGAATTTCAATATCTACTATTTTAATAAAATTTTCCAAAATAATTCAATTATTTTAAAAAATGCTAATAAAATTCTACGCAAACATTTAATCATTATCATAAATTTTAAAATTTTCCCAGGAATTCAATTATTTATACATTTTTTCGCCAAAATTCAATTATTTTCCTAAATCGTAAAACATCGCAGAACTTAAAATTATTTTTAATACAATTTTAATCGAATTTCTCGAAAAATGGAATTATTCTAAAAAAATTTTATTATAATACGTCAAAAGATTTTTTTTATATTCAATTATTGTTAATAATTATGTACTTTGTTAATACAACAATTGTTTACAACTTTATTTAAAAATATCAATAGATAAATTAAAGTTTCAATATTCATTAATCCTCTAGAAAAAATAATGTAGGGGTATGTAATAGTTAAATTATGATGAATTCTCTGATTATAGGTACTAACTGAAAAATATAATAAAGAAATGAATTCGGCGTCAAAGTGAAATTAAATTCCATAATCACCGCCCTAGATCTTTCTCATGGGTTTCTTTTCCCAAAGTAGAATGAAACTGAGGAAAATCTCTGCTGAGTTCAACCGGTTAATCGACAATTGAGTTCTAATCCTGCACTCAGAACAACAACACAATTGCACACAATTGTGACTTGATAAATCTTAATCGCAGCGAAAAAAAGTATACAAACCGCAACTAATATGATACCTTATATAAATGATCAGAAGTCAACTTGCTTATTCTGAACTGAAATATTTAAACTAAATTGGACAATACAAAAATACTTTAAAAATAACTACCAAATTTTTTATAAATTCAGATAACCTTTTTAAGCATCTGCAGTGATTTAAATCCTCTCCTGGAAGGTTGATATATCCAGAGAGATAGAGATCCTTGTTATGCGTACTGAGATTGATGTTTAGTAAAAGGTACAAACGATCTAACTGGTTGCTACTACACCGAATGGGTCGTAAAATGTATTGTATGTGAACTGACAAATTGCATGAGGAAACTAACTCACCAAGTGAGTGTAGATGGACCCTTTTTCATGTTTACAAACATTTTTAGATATTGAGCATCCAGTACAATGAAATGTTCCTTCTTGAAAAATTTGCAATATTCTTCCAAGTTCATTTTCTTGAAGCGATTTTATCAAAAGAGTTTTTCATTTATCAAAATTTATTTATTCATGGTCGAGTTCTTTCGTACAAATTGTACTCCATTACATTATTTCATTCCTTCATTTAATTAAAATATATAAATTAAATCTAGGTTGTTGCATTATATGGCTACGGAACGAATAATTTTGCTATTTTCTAGTGCTGATCCTTTTTTCCAAAAGTACAATGATGATCTGGAGAAAATTCAAAAGAGACTCTTAAAAAAATCATTCACGGAAAAAAATTTCTTATAGAAAACACAAACTTTTTTGTAAAATATACAAATAGGTTAAGTTGTGCTTTATGCAGTCGAGTTTTGTGTTTCCAACAAGCTGGTTTGGGTGTACCACAAACCAATCTGTAATAACACCAAGAAATCCACGCATGCGCAAAAAAATTCAAGTGAACGTCTGCTTGTCGTCTGCTGCGTGACTGTTTAAGCTGTTGAATCATAAACTGAAGTTTGTGACAAGACTCATTCTGGTTTGTGTATTTCCCAAACTCAGCCGTTTGTGGATACTACAACCGCCGTTCATAGATGGCACAGGAAATCTTGTAATTGTCACAGGAAATTTTTTTCCGTTAATTTGTTTCTGAATTTCAACACGGCTGCATGTCCAAAAGGTATATAATGGCCAACTTAACGTAGCTAACTCATTTTATTCAAGAATCTTTTAAGATGAGCTTTCAAGTAGATGTTGCTTACTTGGATTTTGCTAAAGCTTTTGATAAACTCCGGTTCCACTTAAAATGATCGATTTTTTAAACTTTGGATAAAATCAACGATGTAGCTAATTAGAGGCAGCAAACCTGTATATAAATATCAAATTTCATTTCATTTCATTAAGTATATTATGTTCACAACGAATAATTTTCTTTGGTTCGTAAACTCCGGTTCCTAGCCAGTGAGCAGTAAAACATTTACGTTCGAGCAACGTTCCTGAATCGTCTAATGTTTGATAAATAACGTACTTTTAACGTTTCTGGGACATGAAACGTTTCTAAAATGTTAATTTGTCAGAATAAAAAAAAATTAAACGTTTTAGGAACGTTCTTCTAACGTAGATGTTCTTTTTGTCCTTTGAGTGTTTTCAGTGCCTTAAGGGTTCGGGTATTATTTATTTCATTTATTCTATAACTTTTTTAACATTCACAAATTGTTTAAATTAAAGTATTTAATTTTAAATTACATATAGTAACCTCCACATTTAAAATTGGGTCGTCTAATTAGAGTGAGAAAGCTTAATTAATTAATCAATAATTTACTCAGAGCTTAAAAAATAAATTTTAGCTTAAATACTTATTGATTAATTTATTTTAATACTAATCGATAAGATTTATAAGGAAAAAATTTAATTTGAAAAAAATTTTGTCTTAAAAAGTAATTTTGTCGCAAAAGTGACTACATCCTGAAGAATCACCCAAATACGTTTACCCTCCTATTCAATGCGCTTGTACGTTCACCATTTGAATATGCTACATTAATATCGAATCCTTATACTATCTAACAAGCTGATTCGATTGATAAAATACAAAAAAGATTTCTTAAATTTTTGGTTTTCAAGGAGGATGGTTGTTAACCTGTGCGTGAGTGTGAGTCCTTTATGTCAGCGATTCAAATTTTTAACTTTGTCAGAGCGATGCATTGTGAATGCAATGATTTTCTTATTTAAAACTTTGAATTACCACTTTGACTGACAAAATCTTTTGGAAGTAATAAGTTTCAAGATACTTCAGCTACCTACTGAAGGAAATTATGTACCCTTTTATATAAATATAGACCAGAATGACTTGGGTTTAGTTAAAAATGCTCCGAAATCTGTCCTCAAGATATAACAAGACGTCCCTGGAACATCCTACGGATATAATAATCTCCGGAAACTTTCAGGACCCCGTGTAGAAAAATTTCGGGGCAGTCTGGAGTCCAGTGATTGACCCAACTAGACGCATCTGGACGGTATAACTGTATTCTATATGGGATTTTTCTGGACGGTCTAATCTAGACTGTCTAACTGTATGCTATATGGGACTTCATTGGCATCACTAGAATCATCATATTTTTTAAAGCTTTTTTAATAATAATTTCATTAACAAAAATATTAATAGTTTTTGGAAACTTCCTGGTAACTTCAAGGAAACTTACTTTGACAACTTCCAAGAAATTTCCACCGGTAA